TTTCTTCTAAAGTGGCAGGGGTGTTCAATTTGGGAGTGAATAGGAAAAAGAAAATGAGAAGGGAATATTTGAGCCAAAGCTTTCAGGAGGTGAAAAAGTGTCTGGCAGAACAATAGGCGCTGGCAGAGAGAAGAACATCACGTGCGAGGATCAGCAAGAAGCAACTAAGAGGAGAGCCGAATCCGTGAGAGGGAGTAGAGATAAGAAACAGAATGGGGAAGAGAAAGAAGGTCCGGCCATGGAGGAACTCTTGAGCCTCTGGAAGAGCTTTATTTTTTATTTTGCGAGTACTGCGAAGTCAGCAGAGAGTTCTGTTTGGACAGTGATTTAAAAGAACCCCTCCAACTGCTGAGTGGACAATAGATGTCTAGGGCCAAGGGAGTCTAAGCCAGAAGGAAAGACATTCTAAGTATCTTGAGAGTCAAGGAAAATTCAATAGAAGTAGTGGCGAAGAGTCCTACCATTTAAGTGGAGATGCAGATTTTGAATCTGCACTGAGAAACCGTTCCTCTTCTTATATGGGCTCAAGCTATGCTGACTATTGAGAAGGCTTACCTATCCTGGCATGTCACATCAGCTTCTGGACTTTATGGCCCATCAGGAAGGTCTATTAGTAATTTATCCTCCAAATGGTACCCCTTTGAGAGTCAGTGAGGTGCTATTTATTCTATGAGGCCAATCGGTACAAGGGAAGGCTTCTTACAGACAAGACAGTCCAGGAGATCATGGACGACTCCACTAAGTTCTTTAGAAGAGTGCCAACTTGCTTAATAAATACTTACGTTTTACCTCAGAAAATTTGAGAAATGGGAACCTTAATCAGACCCACAGCATTTATTTGGTTGAGTTGGGGTTTTTAGACATACTTAATATACCTTTGGTATTTTGAGTGCTTGCATCGAGGGCCATGGGGCAGAATGGGTTACTGTTGAGTTGCTAACTGCAATGCCAGCCATTCCAAGCTGCCAGCAGAATCTGCAGGAGAGAGGTGAGGCTCTCTGCTCTTGTAAAGATTGACAAGTTCAGAATCCATAAGGAGCTATTCTATTCTATCACTTCTATAGGGTCACTATGAGTTAATATTAGTGAGTCTTTTTGCTTTTTTAAAAAAACTGGAGTCGCCTTACTGTTCCAGTTTAAAATTAAGTGATTTATTTTAAGAATAAAAGAAATTTTCATTTTTTCCCCAGTTTTCTTTGATAGTACTTACAGTGAGCCAGTAATTGATCTAAGCATTTTGTACACATTTTAAGGGTAGAAATTGCAACCACGTTACTTACTACAGCTTTTCTATTCCACAGTCTTTGTAACTCCCACCCAGTCACTGAGTGGGAACATGAAAATAAGATATAGAGGACTCTAACTTGGGGATCGGTCAGTTTTGCCAATTCCGCAGGTATATAAGCGAGCCATCTCAGAAGCAGAAACAGACCATCAAGAAAGAAGAGCCATTAGCAGAACACAGAAGATCCCTGCCTGAAATGGCAGCGGAAGCACCAAAGGCCATAGTATTGAGACCATAAGACAGAGCAGAAGAACCACACCAAGACCATGAGGCAGAGTGGTGGGCTTCCTGACCCACAGACTGAGTAAGGCTGAGTGCCTTTGGGCAGGAGGCTGGCTGGCAGAGTGAGGTGCTCTTTGGGCAGTTATCAGCACTAATATTTGCCCAGACAGGGCTGAGCATCAGAGAGCGTGGCTGAGAAGAGGCACTATGGACAGAAGGACTGTATCCTGAACATGTTGGAGGTAATTAATTTCCATGGTCACCCCCATAATTGTGAATACTATAGATGAGTTCTATATGGTCAGCCCAATGAATTATTGAATTCAGCAGAAAAGTAGAGTATTGTGGTGTTAGAACAGGATAAAGAAGGATGGTGTGTGGAGGCATGGCCAACCTCTGCCTCATAGGAATCATCTGTGGGCAGAAGTGGAGCTGGGCTCTCTTTCCCTCATATTTAGCTGCAGGAGGTCAGTCCTGGCCCTTACGGTATTTCCTCAGAAATAATACTGCAATGGAAAATAACCCTTTGAGTTATTTTCCATCTTCCAGTTTCTTGATTATAATTCTCTGGAAGCTATTCTACAGCTATGTAAGTTTTAGATTACTTCTCAAAAAGAATCATTGGTTATGTCTGTGGAAAGAGATGATGAAAACGTTCAGTCTCATCAGTCAGAACAAGGCCAGAGGTCACTGTGGAGCAGGCCATCGATTGCTCCTATGCAAGTTCAAGTTGAAGAAACATTGTAAAGTTCACAAGAGCCAAACTGTTACCTTGAGTATATCCCGACTGAATTTAGAGACTCTTCCAAGAATAGATTTGATACACTTAATACTAATACTTGAAGATTAGATAAATTGTGGGGTGGCATCAAGGATAGCCTACATAAAGGAAACAATAGGAAGTTTTTAAAATCAGGAAAGAAAGAAAGACATAAATGGATAGCAGAAGGAACTCTGATGCGTGCTCTTGAGTGCAGAATGGCTACAATGTACCGAAGAAATGATGTAATACAGAGCAGAACCAAACATGTCAAAGTTTGGCTTAAGAAGACAAAATAAAATATTGCAACAAAATGTTCAAATGCCTGGTGAGAAAACCAAAGGGAAGAACATAGTTGGCATTTCTCCAACTAAAATCACTACAGAAAAAATTCAAGCCTTGAGTTGCAATATTGAAGTCGTCCAGGGGCAAAAATTGAATGCTGCAAGAAGGCTCGAAAGAAGATGGAAGATATACACAGACCCACTATGCCCTGAAAAATGGACCAATATCCAACCATTTAATGAAATAGCATATGATCAAAAACCAATTTTACTGAAGGAAGACACAGAAGGCATTATCAAAAACAAAAACAGCCTCCGGGAATGGACGGAATTATCAATTGAGGTCTTCCTCATATGCAACATTGGAGGCAGTCTCTATCCCAAGAAATCTGAAAGACTGACACTTGGCCAAATGACTGGAAGAGATCCATCTATGTGCCAATCCAAGTGAAAGTGACCCAGTGGATTACAGAAATTGTCAACATTGCAAGTAAATAACACATGCAAGTCAAGTTATGCTGAAGATAAATAAAAAATGGTTGCAGCAGTACATTGACAGCGAACTACCAGAAGCACCAGCTAAATTGAGAAGACGCTATGGAATGAGTAATATCATTGCTGGTGTCAGATGGATATTGGCTAAAAGCACAGAAGACAAGAAATATGTTTACCTGCATTTTATTAACTATGCACAGGGAGTCAGCTGTGTGGGTCATTATAAACTGTAGATAACATTATAATGATGGGGGATTTCAGGGTACTTGATTATGTTCATGTTGATTTTGTACATAGAACAAAAAGCAATTTTTAAACAGGACCAGGGCATACTGTAGAGCATAAAATCAGGAAAAATGTGTGTCAGGATTGTATTCTTTCACCATACCTGTTCAATCTATATGCTGAGAACATAATTGAAGAAGCTGAACTATATGAAAAGAAAATGACCTCACGATTGGGAGAAGAATCATAACAACCTCTAGTAATGTAGATGATACTACTTTGTTTACTGAAAATGAAGAAGATTTGATGTGTACACTGATGGAGATCACAGATTACAACTTCCCATGTAGATTACCCTTTAGCATAAAGAATACAGAAATCCTCACAAATGAACCAATAACCATCATCGCGATAAATTGAGAAAAGATTGATATTGTCAAGGATTTAATTTTACTTCAATCCACAGTCAACAACCATGGAAACAGCAGTCACAAAATAAAAAACCATATTGCATTCAGTACAAACAGTGCAAAAAGTCATGTTTAAAATATTAAAAAGCCAAGAAGTCAGTTTGGGGAAAAAAATTTGCCCAACCCCAGTCATGATATTTTTATGCATGCAAAAGCTGGATAATGAATAAGGATGATGGGAAAGAATGGATGCCTTGGAATTAATGGCGCTGATGAAGAATAATGAGTGTGCCAGAGACTATCAGAAGAACAAATTGCCTTCAAAGAAGTATGACGAGTGTTCCTTAACAGCGAGACTTTGTCTCAGGTATTTGGGACGTTATTAGGAGGACCAGTCCCTGGAGAACGACATCCTGTTTGGTAGCGAGTCGTCCCCAAAGAGGAAGGTGCCGCTGAACACCAACATTCGTTTGTGGGAATGATGCATGATGGGCAGTTTCATTCTGTTGGACACGGGGTCCCTTTGAGTCAGCACGGACTCAGTGGCATCCAACATTAATTTCAGGTTGTTTTACCATTTTTCTTGTACTGCTCTTTCTATTCCTTTTTTCACCACTAAAAAAAGCACTCCCGCCAGACCCGACACAAGTACTCCTGAAATGTTCACTGATGCACATTTCTCTTGAAGAACAGACATAGAAAACTTATTTTAAACCAAGTTCCCAATTGCTACCATTTAACATGCAGATAAAAGGTGTCGTTAATGAAATGTTATTTCTTTATGCCTATGTCAGGTCTATAATCCAAGGTCTTTCTGAATACACATTACCAGAGGAACAACAGTTCTCACTTGAGCATTTCCACACCTTACGATGGGATCGGTTTCAGAAGCGATCATCATTTAATTACTGTCAACTGTTTGATAATCATTTTCCACCCGGGAGATATGAAGGGAAAATACATGTAGGTAATTTTTCATAACCCAAAGTAAGTTCCAAGTTTCAAGAGGTCAGTCTTGAATTATCATAACTGTTTTAATATGTGATGCTTAAATAAGATTCAGGCAGGGTTAAGAGAAGAGAAACATGCAAACTTGCATTTTCCCCTGGTTACCTTTTCCTGTGTTAGGAAAAGTTATCGGCAACGCCACTAAGTTTAGCAACGGAGTTCTCTCTCCTCTCTCTCTGCCCCCGCCCCCCCCCCCCCGCCTCTACAGAACATCCCCCCCACCCCCCACTCCCAGCCTTTTCTGTGAACTCCCTGCGCTTTCCCAGCGGCGCTCCGCCTGGGCTCTTGTGCGCTCCTCCCCAGGTACTCACAGAGTCTGTGTACTGGCCGGAAGGCTGGGGATGGTGTAGATGTCCTTGCAGGTGACTCTGAAGTGGTCCTCTTGGTGACAGTCGCAGGGAGGAGACGGACACTCCTTTCCCCCCAGGCTCCGGGCCAGGACCACCAGGACCAGCGGCAGGAGCAGCAGCGGCAGCAGGGGCTTCGGCATCCTTTCCCAATGAGCCCCCGGCTACCTCTCCATCCTCCGGACAGCCTCCTTCCCAGCTCCCCGGGGCTGCGGGAGACGCGATCGGGGAGCGGAGCCCAGAGGGAGAGCGCTGGGGGGGCTGTGACCTCACCACCAAAGAGGCACCTGCGGAGGGGAAAGAGGAGACTCTTCAGGGCTCGGCTGCCCTAGGCAACTCGCCACCCAAACAAGCCCGGGCTCTGCTCCCTGACCCCCACCCCTGCTCGGGACCGCTCACGCTGCTTCCCGAAGTTACCGATTTATCACTCAGTGACCCTCCTTCCAGTTCCCGCCAAAGCCTAGTTCCGACTCCTCGGTCCTTTCTACCAGATCCCCCAACCCACCTTTCCAGTTGCTCGTCCCTCCCTAAAAGCGCGGGGCGTCCCGGACCTACCCGAGCGCACGCTCGATCCAAAGTCTCCGCCGACCTGCCTTGAGCGGACAGTCCCAAGTGGAGCGGGGTCTGCGTAGCGCCAGCTCCTGCTGCCGAGGGCACCTCTGCTGGGAGAGGGAGGAAGCCGGGGCCAACCCGGGTTCTCCCCAGGCAGCTGTGATGCCGCAGCCGCGCCACGCTTCCCCCAAACTTCAGCACTGTGGAAGGATCGCGCCAAGCCAGAGGGAATCGGCGCTAGGAGCCGCCTGGTGGCACTGAGCGCAACCAGTGGGTCCCCGCTGGCAGGCACTGGCCTATGGGGCCATCTGCCGTCCGTGAAGGGGAACGGCAAAGTTCAGGGTGCCTGGGTGGAATTCTGTATCTATCTAGCTGTGGACGCGGGGGAGTGACATTGAGCCAGTTTCCCCAGAACTTGGAAAGAAAGGGAATGCATAAGCAGCGCACCATCAACCCACTGTTTCTCTCATAGGAGGCAAAACGAGGATCAAAGGAGAAATCACGTCCTGCCAATTTCCCTCTGAAGAGTCTTCAAATGCTTCCTGGTCCTCTTGGGGTGTCAACTCCCTGCATCCAGCGGGGCTCCCTGTATGTGAACTTCCAGAACAAAGGAAACTCAGCTCTTGTGATGTAATTTCAGATTAACAGATGGGGGGATTGGCTGGGAAAAGACTATAGGGTTATGAAAGTGTTCTCCCTCATAACTGGGATGCGAGGACGTATACATTTCTTTAAACTCATTGAAAAGTCCATGTTTGTTGTGAGTTGTTGTTCGTTGCCTTGGGGTTAGCTCCAGCGCAATATACGGAAGCCTTGTCCCATCCTGCCTCGTTGTCATGATGGCTGGCAAGTGTCAACCCCTTGCTGTCACCATGGTGTAGTTTTCCAGAGCGGAGGCTCCTTTTCCCAACACTGTGCTGAACCATCTTCAGTTGGGATCCCTAGGGACTGTCCTATCTAGTATTTGGAAGTAGATGACTAGGTTTGTCTGTCTAGTCTGTCTTAGACTGGACGTTGCACTGGCTCATGTCCATCATGGATGACCTTGCCTTGCTGTTCCTTGAAATGCCAGTGACTTCCAGCATCATAGCAACAAGTAAGTTACCACTCGATGACAAACTGACAGATAGGGGATTGATTTCAACATTCATAATGGTTTTATTTTAAACTGCCCTAAGCAACATAAATCTGATGTCCCTCACTCAACCATACGGTGAAACACCGACACAATCGCTGAAGACAAAGCAGGTGCATAAGCAAATGTGGTGAAGACAGCTGATGGTTCCCGGCTGTTAAAAAATATGGAATCTGGGGTCCTATAGGCTGGAAGATAAACAAAGGGCCATCTAACTGAGAAACAACAAAGCCCCACGTGGAAGAAGAACACCAGCCTGCGAGATCAGAAGGGATCAGATATCAGGCATCAAAGACCCCCGCCCCCCAAAATCAGGAGAGGAGCCAGTCAGGGTGCAGTGTAGCAATGATGAAATATATAATTTTCCTCTAGTTCTTGAATGCTTCTTCCCCCCCACCCCACTATCATGATCCGAATTCTACCTTACAAATCTGGCTGGACCAGAGGATGTACAGTGGCACAGATAGGAACTGGAAACACAGGGAATCCAGGACAGAAGAACCCCGTAGGACCAGTGGCGGTCATGACAAGACCTGCAGGGTGGAGGGAAGATGAGGGAGAAGGGGGGAACAGATTACAAGGATCTACATATAACCTCCTCCCTGGGGACGGATAGCTAGAGGAGAAGTGGGTGGAGGGAGACATCGGATGGTGTAAGATATGACAAAATAATAATAATTTATAAATTATCAAGGGTTTGTGGGGGAGGGGAGAGCGGGGAGGGAGGGAGAAAATGAGGAGCTGATACCAGGGGCTCAAATGGAAAGCAAATGTTTTGAGAATGATGGTGGCAATGTATGTACAAATGTGCTTGACACAATGGATGTATGTATGAATTGTGATAAGAGTTGTACGAGTCACCCCCAAAAAGATTAAAAAAAAGAAAGAAAGAACTGCTGATACACGCAGCATCAGTGAATCTTGAATGTAAAGTGAAAGACATCAAACTCTAAAGATTACATAGTATATAATTGCATTGCTCTGGCATTCCTGAGAAGGCAAAACGGTAGGGAGAGTAAACCGAGATTAAAGACTGGGAGTTGGAGTTGTGTACAAGGGGAGGGGGATTTACTGAGGGGTGGCCTGTTCTAAACCTCAGTGGTTCTATGACTGTGAGTCTGTCCGAACTCACAGAACTATGTACTACAAAGGGTCAATTTTGCTGCATGGAAATGATATCCCATAAAAAATAAATAAATGTGTGCACTTTGTCACATGTAAATGATACCTCAGTCAAAAAAGAAAATTATATATATATATATTTTTAATTGTGAATTCGGTAAAGATTTCTGGGGCAGATACATTTTCCATTCATCAATTTATACTGTTTTGTTTCACGTCACTGATTGCAGTCTCTGTATTATACCACCACCGTCCTCTCCTATGTTCCCATTTATCTTTTCTCCTCTCTAAATCCTTCTGAGCTTGGTAAGTCCTTGGGTAGATACTGCCCCCTTTCAACTCAAATACTTTATTATGCTAAGGAATCATACCTTCCTGGTATTATTGTTCCCCCTTCTACATATGCATACTGTTTGGCCAAAAATTGAGCAGTGGGAGTGGGTTTATTTCCGTATCAGAAAGGTGATCAAGGGGCATAGTCTCTGTGGGTCTACCAATCTCTATCTGCTTACCGATGATTTTGAGTCTTATTGCCCATTTTCTCTCTCCAAACCTTTCAATGAGATCTCTTCGAGAGCCATTGGTAGCGGTGGCCGGAACTAGTGGTAGTTACTTCTTGTGGTTCTCAGGGCTGCGAAGACTGATGTTCATAAAGTGCATTAGTCTCCTTGACTAATTGCTTTTGTTGTCTTCATTTTTCGTCACTCTTTGTTTCCCCTTGACAGCAAATGACCAATAGATACACTTGAGATGGCTGGTCATGAGCTCTTAGACTCAATCACTCTTCACTGGAATAGGAGGTGGAACACTGTCTTTGTGCACTATGGTATATGCCAATTTACCTCTGTGTCCCTGAGCATATGGGCCTGAGCCCCCAGACCCAGCAATTTCTAGTGTTTGATTATGTCTATGAAGTTTTCAAAATGTTGTTCCCTGAATGCTCCACTTCATTCATGGATAATTTGCACCCAAGGTAAAATACACACAAATAGCCTCTCTATAAGTATCCTCTAAATTTATAGATTCATGGGTCTTCCCCCTCTCTCCTGTACACTTCTTCAACCTATGCATGCATTGTATCTATCCTAGCATCTCCTGTAGATTTCAGGATTATGTGTATAATAATATTTACTTCTCTTGCTTTTAATACTTAAACTTCTCTCAGTGTCTTCCCTGGTGCCATGTGTTAGTGGTTGTTGCTTACATCTTTCTCAATGTCTATTGTGTCACACAAATTGCTGCTGTTGTTAGGTGCCATGGAGTCAGTTCCCACTCATAACAGCTCTTTGTATAAAACACTCCCCCCCTCACCCCCTGCCGCCAACCAACACAGACAATTGATCTGATGTGTGAGCTCCTTGTTGCAAAATGAGTTCATTTTGCCATGGGCCTTCCTCTTTTTTGCTGCCCCATGACTTTACCAAGCATGATGTCCTTTTCCAGGGACTGATCTCCCCTGATAACATGCCCAAAGTACTTGAGGCAAAGTCGCACCATTCTTGCTTCGAAGGAGCATTCTGGCTGTACTTCTTTCAAGACAGATTTGTTTGTTCTTTTGACAGTCCTTGGCACTTTCATTATTCTTTGCCAGCACCATCATTTAAATGCATTAATTCTTCTTCTGTCTTCCTTATTCAGTGCCCAACTTTTGTTCCAATTTTAGTATATGTGCTGCCAAAGTGAGCACCAGTGTCCAACTTTCACATGCATATGTTGCTTTTCAACACTTGGAAGAGATCCGGTGCAGCAGATTTACCCAGTGTAATGAGCCATTTAACTCTCTTTTTAAAAAAAGCATTTTATTTGGGGCTCATACAACTCTTGTCACAATCCATACATACATCCATTGACCATTTATCTCTTGACTGCTGCTTCCATGAGCATTGATTATGGATCCAAGCAAGACAAAATCCTTGATAACTTCAATCTTTTCTCTGTTAATCATGATGTTACCTATTGGTCTAGTTGTGTGTATTTGAGTTTTCTTTACATTGAGTTGTAATCCATACTGAAGGTTGTAATTCTTGACCTTCATCAGAAAGTGCTTCAAGGCCTCCTCACTTTCCACCACATTCTTCTTCAGATAGTCCTCCTTGTTTGATTATTTACTCAGTATACAGACTGAATTTCAGTGGTAAGAAGATACAACCCTGATGCACACCTTGCGTGCTTTTAAACCATGCAGCGTTCCCTTGTTCTCTTTGCCCAACTGTTTCTTGATCCATGTACAGGTTCTGTGTGAGCACAAGGAAATGTCCTGGAATTCCCATTCTTCTCAAGGCTGTCTATAGTTTGTTATGATCCACAAGTTGACTGCCTTAGCATAGTCAATAA